AGCCACAGTTTCTCTTGGAAATCTGTGTCTGCGCCCCATCAATATTTATGAGCTTGATTTAAATGCAGATAAGGTCTTAATTCATCTCTTCCCCGCCAGAACAAAGGGAATTGAAGGTCAAAGGGAGGGAGGGATCTGCATCCCACTGGCCCCTTTATCCCAGCATCTCCAGCTGGGAAAAAAGCCAAGGATCGATGGGAAAACACAGCGGCTGAGGAAGGCAAACTCCTGTTTCGTTCTTAGTGTTGCCCCGGAAGCATCTCTGACTTTCCTCCTTCCCCCAGGAAGCAAAGTGGGATAAATCGATCCCATCACAAGGGCATTTTGGGATAAAAGCATAACGGGGGAAAAAGGATAGTAAGGAAAAAAACCAACAAGCCACGGGAATCTTGGCTGAAAGGAGCTGAGCCAGGGAGTGTAAGGGACACGTGTGACCCTGTGCAGGCTCTGCCTCCTCTCCCATATCCATCCCATCCCTAGCGGGGATAAAAACACAGGGGAAAAAGGAATATTATGGAGGGGAAAGGGGATATAACGAGGTGGGAGGGAGAAAAGAGGGAGAGTAAGAGGAGGAGGGAGAAAAGAGGGAGAGTAATGGGGAAACACTAGGGATAGTAAGAGGAGGAGGAAAAAAAGGGAGAGTAAGAGGGGGCAGGAAAAACAGGGAGTGTAAGAGGGGAGGGAGAAAAGAAGGAGAGTAAGAGGGGAGGAAAAAGAGGGATACTAAGGGGGGAGGAAAAAGAGGGATGGTAAGAAGGGGAGGGAGAAAAGGATAGTACGAGGGGGGAGGGAGAAAAGAGGGATAGCAAGAGAGGGGAGGGAGAAAAGAGGGAGAGTGAGAGGAGGAAAAAGAGGGATATTCGGAGAGGAGGAAAAACCATGGAATTTTAAGAGGAAATCAACAAGGCACAGGAACCTTAGCTGAAAGGAGCTGCCCCAGGCAGTGTAAGGGACACGTGTGACCCTGCACAGGCTCTGCCTCTCCTTCCACATCCATCCCATCCCTATCCCGGCTCAGCATCACCCCCACTCACCTTCCACCTCCTCCCGACCCCGTGCGGAGCCTCCTGGGGGTGACCTGGGGGTGACAGCCCCTGCGGGCACGGAGCCACCAGGTGACACACCTGTACATGCCACCGACCTCCCCCGGGGACAGCCAGCCTGGGCATGCCCTGGGGACCCCCAAGCATCGTGTCCTGGCACTGTGCTACTCACCAGGGCATGGTGAGGGTGGTGGCACCCGAGGCATGGCCAGGAGGAGCCACCACCGTGGCCACAGGTGCGCCTGGTGGCACTCGACACGTGTCTGAGCACTGAGGGTTGATGGGAAATGTAGTTCTGGGATCAAACTGCTGTCTAAACAAACCTCTCACCCCCGTGTCAGGTGTTACTTTTCATGTCACTCGGTGTCCATCAAGTGCTGTCCCAAAGCTCCAGGCAACGTGGGTATCCAACGGGGATAACAGCTGAGCTGGAGGGAACTGCAAGAGGCTCCAAAAAGCATCTGCCTCCCTAAATTCTCCTCCTCTGCCAAAGATGTTGGGGTGCTCTGGGTGAGATGGACATCAAGGGGCCAAAGCCATTGCTCCCTGTCACTCTTCTGGGTCAGAAGGGCCAAAACCACTGCTCCCTGTCACTCCCTGGGTCAGAATAACACCAAGGGGACAAATCCACTGCTCCCTGTCCCTCTCTGGGTGAGAATGACACTAAGGGCCAAAGCCACTACTCCATGTCACTCTCTGGATCAAAGGGACACCAAGAGGCTAAAGCCACTGCTCCCTGTCACTCTCTGGGTCAGAGGGACATCAAGAGGCCAAATCCACTGCTCACTGTCACTTTCTGGGTTAGAATGACACTAAGGGCTAAAGCCACTACCTCATGTCATTCTCTGGGTCAGAGGGACATCAAGAGGCCAAAGCCACTGCTCACTGTCACTCCCTGGGTCAGAGGGGCACCAAGAGGCTAAAGCCACTGCTCCCTGTCACTCCCTGGGTTAGAATGACACCAAGAGGCTAAAGCCACTGCTCCCTGTCACTCCCTGGGTTAGAATGACACCAAGAGGCTAAAGCCACTGCTCCCTGTCACTCCCTGGGTTAGAATGACACCAAGAGGCTAAAGCCACTGCTCCCTGTCACTCCCTGGGTTAGAATGACACCAAGAGGCTAAAGCCACTGCTCCCTGTCACTCCCTGGGTTAGAATGACACCAAGGGGCTAAAGCCACTGCTCCCTGTCACTGTCTGGGTGAGAATGACACCAAGAGGCCAAATCCACTGCTCCCTGTCACTCTCTGGGTCAGAATGACACAAAGAGGCTAAAGCCACTGCTCCCTGTCACTCCCTGGGTTAGAATGACACCACGAGGCTAAAGCCACTGCTCCCTGTCACTCCCTGGGTTAGAATGACACCAAGGGGCTAAAGCCACTGCTCCCTGTCACTCTCTGGGTCAAAGGGGCCAAAGCCACTGCTCCCTGTCACCCCTCAAATGACAGATACAGCATCCATCAGGCTCACTCTGCATCCTTTTCCAATGCTTTGCTATAAAATCCCTGCCTGGATCAGCCAAGAACTGCTGCAAAAGGAGTCGAAGGAGGAATGAAGCTCCTCCACAGCTCCCTGATATAGTTCCTGCTGTCTTAGATGATGGTTTATCATTATAGGTGTTTTATTATCATTGTTAATGCAAATTATCTCCTTCCACCAGCCATGAGCATCTCCCTGCCCTGGCTGGGCACCAGGAAAGGTATTCCAGGAGAAATAATTACTCTATATACTGTTGCAAGACTTAAAGTCACTGTTATATTGTGGTGCAGTGAGGACCTCCCTTGTCTCTCATCCACTTCCTCCTGCCAAGAGGGACAAATTCAAGGCTTAAGAACATGCAAAGCAACTAAAAATGGGAAGAAAATTGAATTTTCATGAATTTACCCTAAGCAATCTAAGAAAACTCCTAATGTACCAGTGTTAGACCTGCCCAGAGGCCAAGGACACACACAGGACATTTACCATTTCCACTTGTGTTCTGCCTCTTCTTTCTTTTCTTCCTTTTTAGCCTTTTTCTTGTTCTTTTCTTCTCCTCCTTCCTCACCTTTTCTCTTCCTGGTTTTCCCTGAGGTTTTCTCCTCTTCATTCTCCTCCTCTTTTGCTTCCTTCTCTGACTTCTTCTTGCTTTTTGTCATCTTCTTTTTCTCTGGCACATCTCCCTTCCCTGTCTCCTCCCCCTCCTCCTTCACCTCTGGCCCCACCTCTATCCTCTGTGCCTCTCCCAATCTTTCATCCCCTTTCTCACCCTCCTCCTCCTCCTTTACTCCTTTTCTATCTCCACTTCCTTTTCCCACCCCATTTTTCCCTTCCAATTCACCTCCCACTCTTTTATCTCCTTCCTCCACCGTTCTTTTCTTAGTTTTCCCTGAGGTTTTCTCCTCTTCATTCTTCTTCTGTTTTGTTTCCTTCTCCGACTTCTTCTTGCTTTTCCTCTCCTCTTTTGTTTCCTTCTCTGACTTCTTGTTTTTCCTCTTCT